AAAGCTACTATGAGAAAAAGCAGAGAGTGCATACCGTAAGAGATTGAACTAACAGATTCTGCATATTGAGAGAATAGAGACAGAATGAAGCAGAATGAGGAAATGGGGGTCCCTATGTCCTCCAGAAGTCTAAGCCTATAGCAGCATAACTATAGAGATAGCTCAGGTCTACCTGTTCTGGCTGGACTTCACGTGCTCACCTCAGGCTTCAAAGAACTTGAAGTAGAGTTTGATGCTGTTCTGCTGATATGTGCTGCTTTTCATGGACTCACAGAGGGGTTCTGCAACTAATATGACATGTACAGGAGGAAAGGATGTAGAATCTGGGCCTTAAGGCATTGACATGTCAGAAAAACATGTATTCTTGTTTTTGTTTTCCTCCCAATATAATACTGTTGTGAAAAAAGGCAGTTATTTGGGAATGGCAATACAATGTCTTTGGCTTTTCATGTTATTTTCTAAATTTAACAAAATAAAAGGGCTTTATTATTTATCCTATCAAAAGGCTTTAAAAAATTCTCTTTCACCTTCTAACTAGGAATTTTAATTTTTTTCTTTCTTTCTTTAGATCACAGCCTATGGAGGGCAGCTGAAATACGCTGTGTACTACGAGGCTAGAGATGAAACTGGTCCGTCATCCTATGAGCCTCAAGTCATTATTAAAGGTGGTCCAAATCACAACATTCTAATAACCCGGCACATCCCAGGACTTCAGATTGGTCAGCTCACTCGTCATGAGATCGACATGACAGAGGTACAGTAAGGAGAAGATGGTTGTGGGGCTACCTTGAATTTGGCAATGCAAGCAGTACTTCAAAAATTCAGAGATGCAATTTTTCTGCCTCTTTCTATGTTAAGCATGAATGGAGGTATGAAGATGGCCGGTCTATGACCCGAGAGGACTTCATGGATGTTTTGTTCTACGTGGACTACATCCTCATAAAGGCATCACATGGCAGTCTGATGAGACATAGCCGGTAAAACATTAACAGCTGCTTTCATTTCTAAATGATTTATCATTGATAATTGTAAAATTGTTTGTTCTCAAGAAACAACTTTATTCTTCAAACATAAAGCCTGCAAATGGTGTCATTCCGATTTTTTTTATATATAAACAATCATCAAAAAAAGTTGTAAACACATATTTACTATGAATCAAATGTTGCCTCTCTTGCAGTATTTCAGAAATCAGCTTAACCGTAGCAGAGGAGGGAACGCCGACAGAGCTAAATGAAAAAGCCCATCAAATAGAAAAATGTGACTGTCCCACTGGATACTCTGGGCTTTCCTGTGAGGTATGCACACATGTAAAGGATCAGTCTCTGCAAGCAACATGTGTTTTATTTAAGTCTCTCTCTCCTCTGTTTTATGTAATTTATAAGGAATGGTTTGATATTTTATTTTCCAACTGGGGTCTTACATTGTTGTAATTGGTAGTGTGAGAAGACGATCTGTGATAAATTCATTAACATATTCCAAGGCACTTTGTCTAATATAACCTCACGAGGTTTAATCTTCTAAATATGTCCTTTGCTCACTCGTCTCTTTTTTTCTTGGAGCAGACAAGCTTCTTTTCTCAAGCCACAGAAATCCTTTTAGCAATGACCTAATCTTTAATTTAATGATGTTTCTATGGAGACTGTTTCTGATACAGACTCTACACATTGGCTTCACTGTGGGTAGTAGTTCCTGAAAGCTCTTCAGGATTTCGTGTTAATCTCACAAGATTTTTTTCCTGTTTACTGCCACTTTTTTTTTTTTTTTTCTTCAGAACAATGCTGATTTGTGTTGTTGGGGAAAATACAGGTCTATATAATTCAGAAAGTAAAGGTACTATTAACATGAAGCCAGAGAGGAGCAAAATGAAGCTAACCTTAAAATGCTCAGGTCGTACAAGGCTTGCCAGACAGATGGCTGTGCTATTTGTAGCTGCCGTCGTTGCTAATAAAGTATTTTAAACGGGCATTTAGTGCTTGCAGAGGGAACAGATGGCTCTTTAAATGGACTCCATTAATTATTACTGAACAGGAGAGGGAGGGATAGAGAGTTACCTTGCAAGCCTGCACGCGTATAAATATGCACGGATGTGTATGTCTGTGTCTAAAAGTCACTGGAGTGAATACGTCTTAATTGTGTGTGTGAGAGTGGAATCAGTCAACTGTAAACTAGGGAAGTTACCGTGTGATTATTGTCAGAGTCCCTGCGTGCATCTGCTTAGTTATGCATTCTAATATCAGCTTTATCGTGTGTTAGTTTGTTCAGTGTTTTTAAATATCTGCTTTGTTTTTTGCACAGGAATGTGCGGCAGGTTTCTATCGTCTCCGCTATGGGTCGCTGGTTTCTGTCCCAGCATCCAGAGTGCCCACAGCTGCAGGCATGGGCAGCTGTGTCCAGTGTCAGTGCAGTGGGCATTCCTCCACTTGTGACCCTGAGACTTCAATATGCCAGGTAAATGAGTATGCACATGTGAGTACTCTGCTGCTAGAGCCCATCACAGAGCCATATGTTGACTAGTTTTCAGAGAAACGAGTGTAATGAGAAAGTGAGAGTGGATGTGCATGAGAAGGTATCTCAGGTACAGTAATTAGCCTGGCGATAATTATCTACCACCTGGCTAACTCGTTCATATTTTAAGTAGCTTTTCTTTTTCTTCTATACCTAAATTGGAAGCTATTCTTCTGCTTTACCTTATATTCATTGCAGTAGAAGACAATTAGATAATCAAGAAGAATTGTTTTTTTTTTTAGTGTGTTTGATTTATCTAGTTGTCTTTTTTTTTTACTTTCATTTTTGTGAGTGTATCACAAAAGCTCCCAAAATATCATTCTGGGAAAAATATCAATAACTGTTGTTACCATTGTTACTGATGTAGCTTTTATTATCATATCTTTTCACTTACCTACATGAACTCTTCAGCAGAGTGCTGTTCCAAGTCACATCCCATGTCTGTTAGGATACATAGGATAGGCCTTAAAGTATAAGACATCTGATCAATGGAGCAGGTGGAAGAGTTTATTTTACTTATTTGAATATTGGGGAATAGATGTGCCCTTCTGACCATCTAGAATGAAGTGCAGCAGACCAGTAACGCAAAAGCAGCAATAAGCAGTTTTGTGGGTGTTTATATCTATGCACCCAAGCAGCGGGTGGAGTTGCATAAGAACTTGGCATAAACTCTTTCACTGAGAACAATATTGTAAGTTTACCTGCCTGTCTCCAGTCTCCATGGCAACTAGTCAATGTACTTAGCAGTAGGAGGCATCTTTCTCCACTACTTGCATCAATACATGTGCTTTTAATTTACATATTAGACTATAAAGAGAAAAAAAATGCAGAACTCAAATTGTTAAGGCAACAAGTGTCAACAAATATTTAATTTCAGGACTTTATCTTGTGCAGTGCTGTGTGGAAGAACTTTAATAAGATCTCTTTTATGTTCCTTTAAGGTTCCACCTTCTCCTTTGTTTTTATACATTCTTAATTTTATTATCTTCTTGGGTGTCCTTTTTTCTCTTCCTACTCACGGCCCTTCTTTACCTTGCCTCGTTCTGTCTCACATGTGCCTAATTTCTCTACATGGTACCAATTTGTTTTTCTCTCTCCGTGTCTCCCCTCCCTCTTGTTTAATTTTTGTCTCTCTTTGCCTGCTAGACTTTTTATTTTTTCCTTGCCCATTTCTACCTCGTTTTCCATAACGGCATCATTAGCATCTTCTAACGGAGCAGACTAAATTGAAAACGCTAAACGAGTTTGTTTCTGTGGTAATTAGCAGTAACGAGAAATTGAGGAAGGTAATGGAAATGACTTGCCTCGTTAAGAAAAAAACTTTCTATTGTACCAACTAAAGTTCCCATTTTCAACAAACAAGTGGAGCACATTATAGGGGACCTCTGGGATATGAGGACTATAGAGAAGTGATTTTGTGTACTATAGTTTTGTTTCGGTCATGTTTGGGAGGGGGGTTATTGTTAGTTGTTAACATTACTGAGTGCTTGCCTCTGTTTCTTTCTCTGTGTAAATATTGGATACACATGTTCCTTTTATGTATTTTTGCTATATTTTCAATAAGAGTAACATTAGACTTTACTTGGAATGCTTATAAATGAAGTTAAAAATGAGCTTTAAAAAAATCTACCTGTCAACTGTTATAATGTCTTTCCCAACTTTCAAATAACACTTTATAATGACTATTTCTGCTATTTCGATTTTACACCAGTGTGTAAAATTGCACCTGTGCACAGACGACACATTGACTGCTTCTTTGCACACAGACTTACTACACCTCATCATGCAGAGGTGGGCCTGAGAATCATTACCTTGTGGACAAATGTATCTCTTATCTGAAAGCCACCTAGGCTTGATAAAAGTTGAACCATGGAAAAGGCAAAAAAAAAGCTGAGAAAATGGGAATGGTAAAGAGCAAAGGCCAATCATTTCTCTTCCAGTGCTGTGGAGATACTGAGCATTATAAAAGCTGTTGGAATCAAATGGGGCACTTCCTACTTATCTGTTAGATGTGTGAATCTGCATGTAACAGCTGTCAGTTGCTTTTTTCTTCCCTCTTTTTAAACAAGAGAAAATTTCAAGTAGATGTAAAAAAAGATTTCAATGTAATTGAAATCTGAGTCCTGTCGAATTGTTGCAAAAAGATTTCGGTGTAAAGCTGTCGGAGGGCTTAATCCGAAGTTGCAGAGAAAGTGGAAAAAATGAGGCGGCAGGTATTTCCAATTTGCTAAGATGTCATCTCAGGAGCTCAAATTATACTCGGTAGTTTGTATGGCCTCCTGCTAAATCCAGAACCAAGAATCACTGAGCTTAAGGACAGTCTGAGGTGCAACTGAATGGATCTAAACATGTTTTCCTAGAGATTTCCTATTGGATTTAGGTCGCGGGAACATGGAGGCCAGTCAATACCATCAATTCCTTCTACTGCCTGCATACTCTTGCCACATGAGGCTGGGTGTTATCATGCATCTTAGTTCTAAGGACTTTATCTGATCCCAAATGATGGGGAGGGGGGAGAATCTCTTTGTTTATCCTGCTCTGGTCTGTGAACTTCCGCTCAATTTCTAAAAGATCAGGGTGCCATTGTGGAGCATGCCAAATCTTGTGTTTTCTACTCAATTCCAGAGTAGGCACAAGCTGCCTTGTGCCAGTGCTTACCGAAAACGACCTGAGTGAAGCTGGCCCCCCCACCTTCTTCAAATCAGACAAAATTAGTGTCAAACGTTTGTGCTACGTTTGTGCTGGTTTGTGAAGCAAAAATTTTCGTTTGTGCCGCTACCATTTTAAATATATAATGACATTTTTTTCCGCACAAACCAGCACAAACGGAGCTGAGTTAATTGACACCCATTTCGTCTAATTTGAAGAAAGTGGGGGGGCTTGTTGACCTTTGATGACCTCTAGAAACATCTCTTTATATCTTTAAAATGGTAGCGGCACAAACGAAAATTTTTACTGCACAAACCAGGAAAAACGTAGCACAAACGTTTGACACCAATTTTGTTCAATTTGAAGAAGGTGGGGGGGCTGGTTGACCTTTTGACCTTTACATCTCCATTAATATCTTCAAAGCCAAAGCAGCACAAACGAAAATATTTGCTGCACAAACCAGCACAAATGAGCTGGGTTAATTGACACCCATTACGTCTGATTTGAAGAAGGTTGGGGGGGGCTGGTTGACCTTTGATGACCTCTAGAAATTATTCTTTATATCTTTAAAATGATAGCGGCACAAACGAAAATTTTTGCTGCACAAACCAGCACAAACGTTTTACACTAAGTTTGTCTGATTTGAAGAAGGTGGGGGGGGCAACTTCACTCTGGTCAGAAGACGTTGTGCTTTAAAGCCGTCTACATAAATTCTGATTCTATTGGTTTGGCCAGAATCACTTGTAGGGCTCTGGCAGTACTAATTTTACCTGTCGTTCCAATTAGGAGCAGATTTTTTGGGGCAAAACACATGACAATGAATAAGTAAATCATAAGGAAACAGATTTTCAAATTGCCTGACATCTTAGCATTCTCCTGACTTGTGAACATTGACAATCAAAAGGACTGAAAATAAAAATCCTCTAGAGTTGTCTGATATGCACAGTAAAACTTTTCTCATTTTACATGGTAGAAAATAAAACATCAAGATAACCAAATTGCCTCTTTTTTTAATTACTCTTTACTTTCTTTCAATGAAGTCTACTGAAAGAAAAGAGTTTCTTTTATCTTTCTCCAGCTCCATTTACTACATCAGAATAAAACAAACCACACAAACAGAACTCATGCTGGGTGGAAGATGGAAATTTTGAGTGGGTAGTTTGAGATTTTTGAAAAGGTAGGCATAAATGGTCTTCAAAATAGTTGCAAATTTTGTGCATTCATGTTGGTAGAACTGCCAAGACAACACAGAGGGGGATCACTGCGAACGCTGCGCTCCAGGATTCTACGGCGTCGTCCGTGGTTCTACAGATGACTGTAAACCTTGTGCCTGTCCCCTTACCAACCCTGAGAATAAGTAATATTTCTTTTTCCTCCTTCTATACTGTTTTTAATGAGGAATCCATCAGTGACTAATTTTTGCATTTGATTCAGACTGTTAAAATTAAACATTCTTTACTCATCAATGTGCTTTTTTTTTTGGTATCTAGTTTTAGCCCTACATGTGTGGCAGAAGGTTTTGATGATTTCCGTTGTACAGCCTGTCCTGAGGGATATGAGGGGAAATACTGTGAAAGGTGAGACTCATGCAAAGAAAATAAATGTGTCTGAGTTTATCCTTATGCCAACAATTATATGATGATATACAAACAAATTATTCTATGGAGCTCAAAAAACTATTTTCTGTCTGACCTGGAAAAGGATAAACTCAAACAAATATCCATATATTTCAGCGCACACCTTCCCATGTAAAACTGAAAACGCTATTTATGTACAATGCTAATCAGAACCTTCACTTTCAACTTTTTAAAATAAATTTTGTATGTTATGATTAATTTTGTATTATTCGTTTGAGGGTTCTCTAATGAGAATATCTCTGGATGGTCACATTATAATTCTGTGTCACATTAAAATGAACTCAGATTACGTTTTTCTTCAAACTTTAGTCCAGTCAAACCTTATGCTATTTAGGATTATACAAAGTATTACATCCAGGTGTAATTGTATTATTGTTAAAAAAAAAAAAATAAATAAATAAATAAATATATATATATATATATATATATATATATATATACAGTATATATATAAAATGAGTTGTATTTCTTTTGTGATGAACTCTTATTGGTCCCAGTCATTTGCTCTTTGGTGGTGCTGCTCTAGTTTTTTGTCCAACTACAAGGTTCTTTAGTACCAATGAAGGAGAATTAAATCCCATCTATTTCCAATGACAAATTGATTCTCTGCTATGTTGATTATCCTTTCCTCTAGGTGTGCTACTGGTTATCATGGTAACCCGACGATGCCAGGTGGTCGCTGTGAGGAGTGTAAGTGTTCCTCGTGGGGGTCATTACCAGGACCATGTAACCCTGTCACGGGCCAGTGCCGCTGCAGGGATGGGGCTTCTGGAATCTCGTGTGACCAGTGCATGGATAGGCATGTGTGTGGAGCTTCTGGGATAATCTGTAAGACTAACTCTTTACTTACCGTTTATGTTTTATTCATTGTTTTCATGTTCTTAGTATTGTAAGCCAGATATGTTCTTAGTTTTCTAAGCAAGTTTGTTTCAGGTTTTATGTAGTAGACCAATGCAATGTGTGTGTGTGTGTGTGTGTGTGTGTATATATATAATATATATATATATATATACACACACACACACACACACACACAAGTCAGGGATAAAGCTTTGGAAAGGTTTAAAGTAGGGTAAAATAATACCTCAAGATTTGATGTATCATGGAGCACTTTTCAATACATATTTCAAAAGTGTAACAAATCCTGGCCAACGTTGTCAGGAGGATGACTGATAGTTATGCAGTCCATTAATTTGGCTGTTTCATAATTTTTGACTGCACTATTATTTATATACTCAGATACCATAAAGGAAATGGATCTCCTTTTTGAGACTGACCTGTTTCAAGTAGACAGGTGCGACAATACATAAGATATAAAAAAGGACTGTGATACCTACAGCTCATTCAGCAAATAATCTTTGAGAATAAACTGTAAATCATATCCTCTATCACATAAAACACTGACTGAGGTTGTTAAAGAGGTGCGTAAAAGTGGTAAACGGTTGGAATGATCAGAGGATGAATAACTGGACATGCCACAGTCCATCACCAGACCAAAATCCAATTGATTGGATGGAAAATCACTGGGAGCAGCAATTTTATTCACAATGAATGTCCTAAGGTTTTTTTTCCTCAAGAGGTATGTGATTCTATGGGAATTTGATTTACAGTGGTAGTTAAAATCAAGCACTTAAAGTTGATTTTGTTCATTCATTAGAATTTTTTTTTTATTATTACAAAGTTAAAGAAACTAGGGGCAGGAATGATGAAAGAATACTCATGCATGTTCAGTTTTTAATGATAAAGCGTTAAAAATCAAAACCAAGGAGCTCACCCATTTTTTCTGCATTGCATTGAATAAGCTGTGTGCTACAAAATAGGTTGCAATTCATGGGGCCAAATTTCCTTTTTCCCACTAGAAGTCTTACGTATGTGACGTCAGTTGAGGCTACATGTGCGCGCCCGACAGCTTTGATACAGAAAGTCGCAGATGTTTCAGTAGTAGTGGTAGTAGACTTAGAAAGGGCTGTTTTAAGCACTCCGTTACTTGACTCAGTGCTTGTTGCTGTCTTGAAATATATCTGGTGGTCTTGTAGTAAACCATCACATAGTTAGCAATGTACGAGCCTCACTAGTGCAGGGCTGTGCATATGGTATGTCCGTTTCTCCATGCTCCTGCGTCGGCTTGGTTGGTGTCTGCAATTACCTGCAGAACCAGTCATGTCTCATTTCCTCTTCCTGCCTCTTGGTCTTTTAAACTCTACTTTGTATTTAGAATTGTTATAAAATTCATAAACGTTTGTGAAATAACATAGCATTTTGTTTGACGAAAAGTAAAAACTTTAAGACTTTTAGAAACCATCGTGGGTGAAAATATCTGCTCTTTAGGTTGATGGGAGATAGCAGGATGGTTTATTAAACAGATATTACTTGGCATGATTATAAAAACGTTGGTTCATTGCATAGCAATACTGTTCTATTTCCCAAAGTTGGATGCTACAAATTTCTGTTTGCCACTTTTCTAATATTAACCTTTTATTTTAAGCCTTTGAGCAAAATAAAAATTACTTGCTACATCAGTGGGTATTGTAAGCCAGATATTTACAATCACTTTAAAAAAAAAAAATAGTATTATAAACTGAGGTCATTATACAGAATAGCCTTAAACTGCAGAAATCAGAAGAACAGGAAAAAAAGAAAAGCCCATTTGCACCAAAGGTTTCCAGACTCCATTAACCCTTCAGTCTTGGTCCATTTCATTCGTTTTCAATGGTTTCTCTCATTCCTGGGGGTCACATATGAAATGTCACATGATTTTGTAATCTTTGCTGTATTTTGACAATCAAATCCAGATCGAAGCCTTTTCCTTTAGTTGCCATGGGAGACATAATAATAGCAGAAGTCATACTTATTCATTAAAGCAATAATTTCAATGTCATTTGGAGCTAATTTAAACTTAATATGATAATAATGGCAGTGCCAATTTAGTACCATTAACATGCTTGGAAGAAAGTGTGTGAATGAGAACATAGATGAAAAGGTTGTAAGACAGAGGCCGATGTGAAATTGCTGCTGTCAGGTTGGTGAGGACATTTCTTCCTCATGTCTTGCATGATCTGCATGTTTCCACATTGAACTTGTGCTCATATATTGGAAATGCTGCACCGAACTGATTGCTTTTGTGTCCAAACCATAATCAAAGCTCTTTGTTCTGACGACTGTATTTTTTTTTTTTTTCCCCAAGCTCTGGCTTTTATATCATTTTGCCAGGCACAACAAACCGCTTCTTCCGCATGAGAATATAAAGATATAAACATCTGCATCAATTGCAGAAATTCATCTTAAATATAACAAGTCATGTCACACAGTTTGTTGCATTATTAAACTTGCCTACATAGATCTATGAAAATATGCTTACAATACGATTATTAATCCATTAGATGCAGATGTAACATATGAGTATCCCCCAGCTCATGTCTAGAAGGAGACTTGGGGCCATAATAGATTACCTTCAGTGGGTAATTTAAAGGAGGTATCACATACTCAGTATATTGCTTAATATATCAGCTTAAATATGATCAATTTATGTATGTTTAAATTTGTTTTGGATATGTTCTTGTCTTTTTTAATTTGCTCTAATTTAAATTGTATAAATAACTATATTGTCAGTAAAATACAGTGGCTTATTGAAGCACAAAACATGATGATAAAAATTCAAACACCTGAGTATTCTGGATTTTTCCTTTATACGGAAATTAAATATCCAAAGCAATATATGTTTATATGTAGTTCATCTTTCTCACGTCAGATAATTTCAATTCGTTATAGAAAAAATTTTATATTAATGGTTCGAGATATTATTAGGGTAATTCGGTTTTTTTGGATTTAAGGAGGTAAGGTACAAGTGAAAGTCAAAATTATGTCTGAAAAAGAATTCAGAATGTAAAATAATTGTTTTTTTAAAGCACATTTTTGTTTTATCTAATTAGTTTTTTAATCCAGTGTTTTGGGGTTTTATAAGGTCTTACACAATGTAGTCGTGTGAAGTATTATTAGGTCCTTTGTTATATAAAACCTTTGTAATGTTACGACGTGCAAAGAGGCAGCGTCATTGTCCAGTATTGTTTCACAAGCAGGGATTCAGAAAAATGACAAAGGAAGGCGAAGCTATTAGCAGGACTATTTAATGTGTGTGGAAGGGTGTCATGATCAGCAGGTCTTGCTACAAACAACAGTTTTGTGTTTTGTCCAAATGCGTGTGCAAATTATGCATGGAACTCCGTGAATGCAGTGGATCTTTTTTGTGATTTGGTTTTGTCAGAGACTGATGGACTAGAAACAGTTTGAATTCATAAAATGGTGATTTCCCAAGTGTGGGCATGTGCAATGGTTGTTTATTTTTCTGCAGTGTATGTTCATAAAGGGGCCATTTTCTCCCCATGCTGCTTTCATGTATCAGCAGCCTTGTCTTAATGATGCTACAACATAAAACTTGCCAAGCAAAGTCACACGTTATGTTGATTAGTTGACATTGATGAAATATACAGCAACACAAAACTTACACTGATACTTGGCAAACAACACCAAGGTGTCAGTGGAGTTTACACACCAGCTATTTCAAACTTGTCTTTGTTTTTTTTCCTCTAGCCTGTGACGATGAGTGCTCAGGTTTGCTAATAAGTGACATGGACCGTCTCTATCGCATCATCACCGAAGTCACTCTGACTACACCCCTTCCACCACCATATAAAGTCCTGTACCGCTTTGAGAACATGACAGACGAGATCAAGGTAAAGAAAGTTTAAACCTTTTTGATTGTGTATATTAAGTCTGGCTAAAATTGTCCGATTCTTCAACGCATAGTGCATGACGCGCGTTAGGTGGCACGAGCTGCTGCTTCACAACAATACCCAACTAACTTAGCAAAATCTACTCAGGATATTAGGAATAATATCTTATGTGCCACTCATCATCACGTTCATGTATGAAATAAAAATGTTATAATTAATAATTTTAAACACTGTATGATGAAGTCCACCTAGCACACTGTAATGTGTGTGTGTATATATGTATATGTGTGTGTGTATGTATATATATATATATATATATATATATATATATATTTTAAAACACGTTTTTAGTTCGTGTTACTGCCGCTTATCACCGCTCGCACCCGCACTGTGCGCTCTCCCTCCCGCCCGCACCAGCAATGATCTTTCAATATTTGTCCCGCGCCGCACTGCTTTGCGTTGGGTCCCGCAAGACTACCACGGAAGTGCATGGCTCTACCACCCAGTAAAAGCTGTGCTGATCTTATTTTATCCCATTTATCACTCCTTTTTGTTTTTTTTTGTTTGTTTTTTTTTTTGTTTGTTTCTCTAACTTCTCTCTGTACAACTAGTACAGTTAGTTCTCCATTGGAACTTAAAATGATCTACGGTTGTTTTTTATCGTTTTAAACATGCCCTCAACCAACGGCATGTTTTCAGATACAGGTCATCACGACATACACATCACGGCATCTCTCATTGGTGCACTGCCCCCCTGTGTATTTATAAACTGCTCATTATTGGCTATGAGAGTGCTTAGATTTTGTGGCGATGTTATTAGACTCTACTGCCCCTTTATTCATTTTTATTGACCCTGATTGAAATGAATGTTAAACAAAATTGTTTCTTTATATTAGTATAAGAAAATTAAAGTTTGACATTGTTTCCTTTACTAATTATTAAAATGCAAAGCTATCTAGAATTGGGAATAAACATTTAAGATTTTTCTCTGTGCAAATTGTTTTGCCCAGCAGCACAGGTCTGGGTGGTATTGGAAACATTGCTTGAGGCCACATTGTGTTAGAGGATGCTTTGTCTAATACTTTCATCTCTCCATTTCCCCTTTGAAGCACATGTTGTCGCCTCAGAAAGCTCCAGAGAGATTACTGCAACTGGCCGACTCCAACCTGGGATCACTGGTGGTTGAGATGGACCAGCTACATAGCAGGGTACAAATCCTTTGGGTTTCTTTCAACTTTAAGCCTGTGTCTTCCTTTTTTTTATCTCATTTTTTCCTCTCTGTGTAGCCAAAGACATGGCAGACATTTCAGCTTGCATGTAGTGCCTCAGTCATTTTCAAAAGAAATGGCTGGAAATTACACTGGTGACAGAGTTCAGGTTTTTGAATAAAAAGCTAGATATATTGTAGCCTTTAAAAGCTGTTGGAATTTTAAGTTGAATATTTTGTATCTATGTATTGCTTGTCTAGTTTGATACACAATCAGCACGTTTTTATATGATAGGCAGTATATTCCATAAATGTAGTCTGGACTGTAAGCCTAAATAGAACCGACCACCTCTCAGATAAGCATTTTGCTCCACAGTAATAGTCTCACGTCATACATTTAATTTTACGGCTTTTGTATTGGTTAGAGCAACTTTTAATTTTTTTTAGAACAAAATGGATACAGCACAATGTTCGATACCCAACGATCTCGTCAGTCAGGGTCTGCAGCAGCAGTGCACCTTAGAACTGTGTCATTTTTTAAGTTGTTTTTGCCGACCTTCTTTGAGGCCAATTTGAACCCTTTCTCTCTAAATTGAGATTCCTTGCCGTCTGGTACTTTTTTTCTTCTTTTTTTTTTCAACACAGTTTTGAAACGAATCAGCTGATTTACCAGAGAGTCCTCTACCGGAAAGCCTTTTCAGAAGGATGTTGGGCTGCACAATGCTGTTGTTTTGTTTGTTTGTTTGTTTTTATCTACACAACCAATTAATTTAAATATGTAGTTATGGGTTTGGGGTATTGCAGGCTAACAAAGAAGTCAAACGACTCTCATTCTAAAGGGGAGGACCCGTTCATCCAGTCCAATTTGCTTGTTTTCTAAGCCAAAACAAGGCTTTGTTTTTTAGTCCTCTCTCTAAAGCCTCAAACTCAACGCTATTTCTGATATCTTTAATTGTAAAAGCTTCCTGGATGGGAAGCGAAATCTCTTCAAACTTTTGAACAAAGTTCAGTGGATTGTTGTTGTTTTTTTACCATTTTGGAATGACTATGAACGGGATGACTCAGAATCTTCACCAGCAATTCAACTACTACTTTTAAAATTATCGTAATAGGCCTGTGCCTAAATTCAGACCAAAGTCAGTTAAAATACCATTAGATGGTAAATTATCTTTCCCAGCTTGCAATTGCTGGAGATATGTAAGGCAAGCAAAAGAACCCGAATGTGACTACTTTGGTGCTGGGATTGACGTTTGGTGTGAAGGCACCATTAAACTTTCCTGATGCCTTTTTCATTGGCGACTTTGCTAAGAGTCAAGGCTTCAGAAGATTCCCTACCACTTAGCCCTCGAACCTTAGAGTGGCTTTTCTGTTGAATGAAACTTTCCTTTTTTCTCCTCTCCCTCTCTCTCTTTCTAAATGTGTATGCTGTCATGGTTTGCTGTGTGGTGGAGTTAACCAAAAATAGAAAACAATCCCGATCACAATCTAACATTCATGTTGTCAGGCTACACACTTTTAGGGATTTAATGCCTGACATTTATTGACAATGTTAAAGCCCCCCCTCCACACGACCCTGTCAAATGGCAGCAGAACATATAATTATCATCACACTCCAAACTGTGTGTGTCAGTGTTAGATTGAGTGTATTTGTATGTTTTTATACATGTCTGGATTTTATCCATCTCCTTGTGCTCTTGGGCTTGTCTTTAAATGTGAGGTTTTTCTCATTTTAAGTCTTCTACTTTTTGTGTACACAGTATTGATTTGTTTGTATCTATTTATCTTGTGTCACTTCATAAATTCTCATTCTTGATTTAACTTTCATATATTCATGTAATGCCTGTTTCCTTTTTGATGCATGTTTATGTTTTTGTGTAAACAGGCGACTAAGGTGTCCGCTGATGGCGAGCAGGTAGATGATGATGCAGACAGGATTCATAAACGAGCTCAGGACCTGGAGCAGTTCATTAAAGACACACTGTTGGGAGCTAAAGGTAAAGAATGAGCTCTCCCCTTTTAGCTATGTATTAATCCTGTCAACATTTCCTTTAAAAAAAAATGATATCTATTCTTTTACTCTATTTTCTTCTTGTTATACTAAAGCTAATTGAACATTCTCCTGAACTGAATGGCTCCTATTGGGGAAATGTAGAAAAGTATATTGTAGATGTGGATGTAGAGCAAAAAGATGTAGTGAGGGGGTATTGGAAAAAAATAGTTTTTCAAAAATCTCAAGACTTAATGCTCAGTGAAATTCTGTTTACCAACTTTTGAACAGAGGCTTTGAAAGAAGCCAACCAAATGGTTCGTCTAATGGAGAAAAGCACCCATGAAATTGGTGCTGATGGACAAATTGACGGTGCTCCATCCAAGGTGTTGGTGCAAAGTGTTGCTGTAACTATCAACAGATTTCTCAAGCCATCACAACTGATCTACTTGCCTTCCTCAACTTCAGAACAGCCATTTTACTCAGTTCTATTGGCATTAAGCAAGTTACTGTAGAAATTATAACAAAATATTTATCCTTAGATCTTTTTCTTTAATAACAAATCTTCCATTAAGTGGTAACTTAAGCTATTTTCCCTCTACTTATTTACCAGCATTGACAAGATGCTGATGCTACCTATAATAGATTAGCTGTTTAAGTCCTTTTTCATTTGCACCAGTAGAAAGTTAATGAAGTTACTTAAACAAGGATACAAGCTTCAGATGGAAAGATAACAGCAGTTAGCATTTACTATTTACTAGTCAAAATTGATTAATAATGAGTTTGTGGAGGCTTTATTGAATCTAGCCATGCTTCAAGAATTATGATCCCACAACAAGGTTTTTACTTGACTTCATTTAAGAAAAGGTCTCATAAAACAGCTATAATTCAGTACTGCAATTTCTATTAATAAATTAAATTTTCACTTGTTACAGTAGCTGCATTTGCACATTGATCAGAGGCAACCCATTATTCCCCCAAATAAACAAAACAAAAATACACTTTTGAGATTTTCCCTAACAAAAACTATAATATATGGTCAGCAGGCTTTCAGCAAGCAATGCATACGGGTGTACATTGTATGCCCTTTACTAAAAAAATTACAAATTGTTTGCCCTGTTTTTGATATGTACAGCTTTGGCACGCCCTAAATTCCCCCCGGAAGCTTGGCTCAAATGTTCAAAATTTTACAAGAAGATGGAGTGGGAAAACGCAGCATTACACTTTCTGATTGTTTGAATTAAACAATGAAACATAATAATGTAAGGAGTAGTTTTGTATTCAAAGACCAAATTTAGCTGCATTCAACCTCAAAATTTAGAAAATAGTCTAAATTTCAACATTTTCCAGGGCCCCCGGAACCCCCTACACAGCGCAAAGCCTAAAGATGCGATACATCAAGGTGTACGCACTATGAAATATTCCTAGCTAAAGACCTCATGGTCGGTGACAGTAAAGTTCACTTTAAAAATCTCAAACTAAGTTTCCTGCTTTGCCACAACAAGAATTATCTTGTGACATGATGGGTCCAATATATTTGACCCACATGCAGAAGCACTCACAGAGACCGAGAAAGATTTAACAGTTTATTGAAGATTTACTGTACAGAGATAGGAAAAACAGTTCCTCAGCTTAAGGGAGGTTCCTGTAGTCTGGTGAAGCAGAAGTGGAAGCTCTAGGAGGCAAAGAGAGTGGTGAGTTCAAGGACTGTGGGAAAACTGGGCGAAAGTCTGAATACAAGGCAACTTGGACTCACAGCAGTTGTTGGGGAGGGTTTCTGAGATCCCGTTTGTGGAGGCTTGGTCAGTAGAAGGTTAGTTTGTTGGAGGGCGGACACGCAGACTAAGGAGATCCTGAGGAGCAGTTGAGCAGACTGACACTTGGTTACTGAAGTGCTCGGTGTTCAGATGAGGAGATCCGTCTCCTTTTCTCAGTGTGACGAGTGTTTCCCTTCCAAGACTTGAAGGGCCAGCGTATCCAGTGGATCTGAAAATTCCTGACAGAAAATCAAAGAGAAAACTCAGTTATTGCTGAAAGAGCTCAGAAGAAGTTCGGACTCAAAGTGAATCAGCAAACTCAGAGTGGCTAGAGTACCCAATACTGGCAAACACTCTGGCAAGGAAGTGAAGACAGTCTGCTCCTTAAATACTCCTCAGGAAGTTATGACCCAATAGGCTGCAGGTTTGAGGTGAGAAGAACTGGAAGCCCTCCAGACCAGCAGAGGACAAAGGCACCATCTAGTGGGTGCAAGGTGGAACTGCAAAAGAAACAAAACACGCCCCACAAACTGGAATCCTAACATCTTGTGTGAAATGGTTTCAAATTTCCTTTCATAAAAAAAAACTAAAAATTGGTCAACACTGTTTGTAATTATAAAATTAAAAATGTTTTGCTTAAATCCAGTTTTCTGATCTAAAGTTATGATTTGAAATTTCCCTTTCCGTAATTTTTGAAACAACTGAAATGGTCCATCAAACTATAGAAGATCCCATCCAACAAACTGATCTTTTGTTTTGTTTTTATCAGGCATCTTTTAATCAAAGAACCACTTTCTACTCCTGCTTGTGTTTCAGATTTACTGTAACTAGTTGTATGGCTAGATTGACACATGATGATCTTTATGCTTGCTGAATAAATATTACCATTAACAAATTAAATCTACTAAACCATATCAGGATAGATTAAGTTTCTCTTCTAACTCAGTTCAAGAGCACCCTCTCTCTACCTCTCAAAAATAGTGACCCCTGATGAGCATTGCTATGAACCTGAAAAAGTTAATGGTAACTGTTGGTTATTAGAATGATGATAAAACAGTTCAGCCTTTCAATCTTAAACTTATTGGAATTGTATTCTAAGCAATTAGAATAGTTTGTGGTGTTGCGTAATAAGCATTGTTGTAGTCTGAGTTGAGAAATGCAAATATTTTTTTTAACGATTGCACAACTGCCGTTTTTTTATTACTGTTATGAAATTCTTGTGTTTTTGGTTGGAGAAAAGTTGACAAATCAACTAAATCTCACTTGCAGTAGTGAAATTGTCCCCCCTTTGCTGTTGCTCCCAGCTCTTTGGCCCTCTGCCTAATCACGGTGTGATTATTGTGTGTACTTGAATGTGTGTATCTAGGAAAGTGAAAGAGAGACTGTGTCCTGGCTCACTGAATGATTGAGAGTAGCAATTAGAGACTTAATTAGTGGCCATCACAAACACACAAATACACACCGATATGCAAACGCCTTTGCATGCTTTTGACACATTTGTGCAACACTGCACACAAAGACACACAATAGGCAAGAAAGTACTGTACACAATTTCCCCACACATGTTTGCCAGATACCTTAATATGATTCTGTCCACGATTTAAGTGTTTAATTGGTTTTTAAATCTCACTATGTAATTATATGACTGTGGCACACGCTGTTGTTTTGTCTGTGCACACACTGCTAGAAGAGCCATGCGCACCCATACACACATGCAGTACAGCTGTTCATTAGCATGATGGCTTAGCTGCTGTCTTGGCTCTAATCACTTTATGTTTACACTTCAAATAAGTGAAATGCACCACAACACACACACCGATAAACTGTGAAATATTTTTACTTGTTTCAGTCAAATACAATTTAAGGCAACAAATGTTCCCATGTGTACACATAGGTAAGAAAAAGTACTAATAGGCTGATGTTTGTTCCTGCACTGGTACATGTATACAGTCCTTATTAGTGTCAGACAGACTGAGTTTTTGTTTCATCACTGATATCTCTGAGATTTATGGACTCTAATCTGAGAAAATAAGAGTTGATTCAGGGCTGCTTACAGAAAACTGGCTTCAAATGATGAAATGAATTAAGATTGAATTGGATTCCAACTGTGATTAAATGAGTAACGATGAGTAAAAATGAGGTTATTAGTCATTTAAAGGAATATGTTTGTTCAATGTACAAAAATTCAACTTACTATATTGTGTTTCTGCTGGAGCCGTCATCCTTATACCATCTATGCTTTCTGATCTTTTCTAATTTAATTTTCCTTTTGGACCTTAATGGCTGCTTTGCTTGCTTTAGTTTTCTTTTTACTTCTTTTTAGTTCTCATCATTATACAATATAATAATGCTATAGATAAAATATTTTTTAAAATGTGTGTCAATATTTGGAATAATATGGATTACAGTTTCAAAAACTATTTGAACATTAGCAGTAAAGTGTAAAATAAGAATTAAGGTGATTGAACTGAGATCACATTTTTTGTCTTGATGTAATGCACTTTTATAAATCTTTATTAAAGTCTCTTCAGGTGCAGAACCAGTTTGTAATTTATCAAATTCATGTTGAAGGCCAATAATAGAAAAAAGTGGGTGAGAATGGTAGTTTGTGAATGTACAAAATTAACTCAAACCTTTTAACTCTTTAGGTAAATTTATCAATTCTTGTAATTTTTAACCTGAAGTTTATCGATATTATTCATAAGTTTGCATAAATGGCATTCTTTAGTATTTATTCTAGACTTTGCCAGTTTAAGTATCTTTGATTATCTCGTTAAAAAATAGAACTATTGAAATAAATAAATAAAGCTGTTTATTTTCAACATATGACAGTTAAATATTATAACCAAATTTTAATATTACTTAATTATCATATTTTTTGTTTTATCATGACAACTGTTAATGGGTGGGAGCTTCACACTGCAAAGCATAGTGGAAACAATATGGGGTGAATGCCTGAGGAGAGAGTATCGGACGTGACCCATTGCCGGGGTCAAGCCTGTATGCAGGCCTCAGTCCTCAAAGCAGCTGTTACAGGTTTAGTGGTAAACATTAAATAATATTAATCAGCTGATTCCTTTAAATGCAGTATTGCATCCATGCAGAGCTTTGCTTGGATCATTTATGAGAGAATCTGGATGTGACATGAGGTGGAGCATTGTACCTAAACTTTAAGTTTGTAATTATTTATTATAGAAAATTGCTTAATTTTTTTTTATCAGGTTTGTATTTTTAGCATGCCCTATTTTACGGTGTTTGTGTACATACATATTTGTATGGATCCTACTCATTTGTTTTTAAAAATGAGAGCCCTGTACAGTTTTGGCAGCACATGCGTAAAACACACTCTACTAGCTAGGTGATCATAACATTATGCTCATTAAGCACTAAAAGCGTGATGCTCTACTTCTACTACGTAAATCCTATATTTATGAAAATGCACATTTCTCTGTAATCACAAACAGTAGAATGTGTAGAATAAATAACTTTATAGTGGTGATAGAAATAAAGGTTTTGAGGGTTTTTTTGTGTTTTCTTTCATTTAGAAAGACAGATTTCCATTACATCAGTAATCACAGCTTCATCCATTTAAGATTATAACTGAAGATATAAGCAGAAAGTCCAAGTGATTTTGTCCATGTTGCCTTTCTGGTATTTTTAACAGAATATCACTAACTTAATTGTAAAGATAACAAAAAATGAACAGAATTAAACAGTAATGGGGATTGCACCACCTCGAGTAATAAAAACCACACATTTTTTGTGGTGTTTATTAAATTTTTTTTACGCACTCTATGGTGGGTGAACATTTAAGTTGTAATAGTTGAAACATCGAATTGTGTTCTGTATTTTCACATTTAAAAAAGAATAGAATAGAATTCAACGTTGTCTTTACACTGACATTACATGTATTTAAAGTGAGCAAAACTGGTTATCTTGCCTAGAAATGGACCCTTTTTGGACATAATGAGGATGCAGGACAATGAGTGCTTTAGATAAAATAAACTTAATAATCAGCACATAAGTGAACTATACACAGCGACTCTTTAATGCCCTCATTTAACTTATTAGATTATTTTTATGTACATTTAATATAATGCATATAATATATATATATTTCACCAAAATGTCATTACTTGCCAATTAAAACAGCTTCAAACTAGGAATTACTAAAATTAAGAATTATTGTAAAAATTGTAATATTTTTTGGCATTTATATCAACAGTTTCAACTGCCAAAAATAGATGAAACACCAAAGAGTGTTTTTCTTATGCCTTTCGCAACCACAGCTCCATAAACTCAATCTTCCCGTTGGCAGCCTCCTCAAAGCGGTCCCTCTGTGTGTCTCTTTACGTCCAGATCTCCAATTCAAGGCTGCAGAGTTGAACAGGACCCTCTCAAGGAAAGATGGAACCGCAGACAAAAGCCTTACCGAGATGAAGGAGGAGATTCAGGCGATGCTCGCCGAGATGAGAAAACGACAGCTGGGAGGAATGAAAAGCATTGCAGAAGAGGAGGAGGAGTATGAGAGCACTCATCACACACACGCACATATAACACACACTTAAACACACACATATTAGGTGTTGCTCTTCTCTCCCAGAGAAAAACTTTCACTTTATTTTTGTAGGCATTTTTTTTTCATTCTATAATGCATAGCCGTTACATACACAAACTTTCTTTAGTTATAAATAAGTTGTAAAACTGTTATAAAGTATAAGCGAAGCAAGGGGTGCATTGTTTTAATTAAAAGTTGAATATTTATTGTATAAATTGTCTTTTTGCTAAAGTTTTGTGAAGGACGACAGGTACCACTTCTGTTAGCATTGCAATTCATGTATTTCCTTGTTCCCTTTACTGTCACACCTACGCTTTCTGCTGGGACCTTTTACATTCATCTTCATCTTTTTTACTTTGATACAAACTGACCCAAAAAACACAGGAATGCAGACCAGTCTTGAAATAACGCCATTCATTAAAAGCTAGGTTTCTAATACTGCATGTCTCTTGAGTTTCACTCTTTCCTTCAAAATAAGATGGTGGTTAATTTTGAAAAACAATCTTATAAAAGTTCTTAATTTCCTAACCTGTATTTGATTTCATTTTTAAATCAATCTAAAATCCACCTCTTCTGTTTCTTTTAACAGTTAAATTAATGAAACAAATATTTTCTTATGGGAGCTTCTTTATTTCTAATATGTAGTTTTTTTCATTTTTACATAATTCATCAATGTAATAAACTTATAGACAATTTGTAATTCATAGTGATTTTAAATGTTCTGCTATGAATATAGTCTTAGGGCAACATAACCCTGAGAATTGGCTATTTAATAGAAAAATAATTCATACAAACATTCCTAAAATTCTACTGGTTTATTTTCTTGATTTGTTTCTCTCTTGATTTTGGCGATATAATGATGTAAGCAGCTATTTGATGGCTGCACATCTAAAAGTCATGTCTTTGCATTTGTTGTAGCAAAGCGTGTCTCTGTTTTTCTCCAGTGCTCATTAATGTTCTCTCATTCTCTCAAGGCATTCAGAGGAATTAGTGATCTATTTCTGCATACCTCTTTCCCCTCTTCTGTTTCAGCTGTAAAGGTCGATGAGTTAATTAAAAATATCACCGTAGGGGAACAAACAGAGACGGTCATAAAATACATAGAACATGTAATGAGACAGGAGAGAAAAAAAAAGAAAAAACAAAAGAAAAAGGTAGCTGACGGATGGATAGAGAAAATTAGTAAAATAAAGACACAAACAGAAATTGCTTCAGCCTCTGAGTGACTTCATTATATGACCAAACACCAAGGGGAGATTTCATCCAGTTCTCCTGTTAATAAAAAAAAAAAATAAAAAAAAATGTTTGACTTCATGAAAAGAGCAAAGCTTTCAGTTATTCCATATTCTTTGTATATTTTCAATTGGACATGTTGCTAATATGCTATTTTTAAGCTAATTTGTTCACACGCTGCAAAATAGATTTTATGTAATTCACAGTAATTGAAACCATATTTGTAATGCAAAAGTGCGATTGATAAGCAATGACTAGATAATCTCTCCAATGGTTTATTACACATTTTTTGGTTGTTTTTTTTTCCCCCCGTGTTATTCCCTACAGGGTTCATTAGTTTTATCATATTCCATCATGCAATCCCCCGATCCTCAAACACTGAGCTTTTCCTCTGAGTGATATTAACTGGAGGACACTAGATCCTTCATGTGTTAATTTTTTATGTTAAAGAAGGAAGATTAGACTCATTAAAGGATGTGACTGTAAACATGTGGCTACTAAATTATCTTAAATGCTTCCAGAGAGAGAAAGATGGCTCAAAGTGCACCAAACATTGTTAAAATGTTGTAAACAAACAGTTACATAGCAAACGAGTATTTTAAAGCAAAGCACTGCATACTTCCTTCTATACTGGTTTAACGCAGGATTTTAGCCATCCTGAAAGGCAGCAATCAAAGACTCTGTTAAAATACTTTAAAAGCCGCCTTTTAAAAATGCAGATATTTTTCTATACCAAATTCCCATTTTTCTTGATCAGTTACATTAACATCTACTACAAGCATTCACCCTCATATAACATCTTGTTTCACAAAAGAGTTTTACTATTGGAATTTGCCAATTATTGTTACCATTCATCTCTTTGGAGTGTAGTTGATAAAATATAAAACACAGAAATCTAATAATTAAATTTTGCTCCACTTTTTTATATATATATATATATATATATATATATAATTTATTTTTTTTCCAGTTATCATTGTGAAGTATTTTCAAGGTTTTTATCAAAATACTAAATTGTTCTCAGACATATGACAGCACAGAGCTTATACTATTTCCAACATTAGATGAGGTTTGTCAGTATAAACAACTTTAAATGCATCATAGGTTTCTTTCTGCTGTCATTTTGTTTCCTTCATAATTTCTATTTCTTATTTCTTTAACCCTTTATTGTCCAAATGTTAGTAACTAGGATATAAAAACAACTTTGCAGAAAGCATAGCAAAATGGTGAGGTCAAATTTAGTCTGCACAGTCTGCAAGGTCCACCTCTGTCTTAAAGCTGAGTTTAACTGATTTATTTATTATCATCTGTAATCTAATGTTACCTACTGTAAATTAAGTTAAACGAAAAAGTTTATAAGTTAAGTAAAACACTTAATGCACCATGTAAGAATATTCAAACGCTGAGTAAAAGAGTTACTAAACTGAGTTAAAAAGTAAAACAAATGTAGGTTCTTGTATCAGAGTTAATGCTCTGAGGATTTTGTTGTAATAAAAAAAATGTTTCTCTTTTAAGTAAGTAAGTATGATTCATAAAAAGAACTCTTTTGGATTGATTTATTATTACTGCTATTATTTGCATGTTCTGTCGACCAATAACCCTCTTTAATTTACAATTTTATAATGTTTCACCAATTTCCTTATAAAGGCTTTAGGTGTTCTTTTGGGATTAGAAACATTAGATTTACTGTGTATTTATCAAATTGATTTAGAATGTAAAATATTAAACACAAGATTAATCAAAGTTATTTTAACATAGCAGTGTGATTTAAAAAAAAAAAAAGTTTACAGTTGACTAGTTTTGAAATATTTCAACATTGCTAATACATAAAGATAAGTACTCTTTTCTTTTGAATCCTAATACAATCATGTAGCATATATTTGTATATGCTCTCTTGAACTCTTTATTTCTCCTACAGTCTAGCAGAAGAGTTGTATCAGAAAGTCAAAAGACTGTTTGGTGACCCTCATCAAGCCACTGAGGATTTAAAAGCCGAGGTAACAGTGATCACTAGTTCTAAATTTTGTCTTTAAATTTGCCAAATGACAAAAATTGCTTCCATATCTGTGTGTTTTAAAGATCAAAGAAAAGCTGTCTGATCATGAGAGGAAACTCCAGGAGGCTCAAGATTTACTGCATTCTGCCCAAGGAAAGACGAGGCAGGCTGGCTCACTGGCAGAGAGCAACAAAGCCAACCTTACTCTTCTACAGGTGCAGCACAACTCAAGAATCATCATTATTTCCAGTTATGATTAAAGGCTGAGGATTCAGTTTTATTTTGCCAGAATTTTCAGTGAATTCTCTCTCTCTAAAGTTACAATCAAGATAATAGACTCCAAAATAAAGCTATATTAGAAGGCAGTCATAGTATTTCTACTCCATCAGCTGTCAGGCTTTGCAGTATAAATTTTAAAGTTATATTAGGTTTAACAGGGACATTACCTCAGAAGAATAGGCTTTCTTTTCTGATGTGCATACTGGACCTGCCGCTGAAACAATCTGCTTGGTTTCTCTAACAACATTTCTAAAAAGCTTGTTTCTCATCTTTAATTGGCTTTATAATACTTCCACTTCAGATTAAAACTTTAAACCAAATAAAAAACCCATCCATCCATCCATCCATCCATCCATCCATCCATCCATCCATCCATCCAT